ATATATATATATATATATTCTTTTTCTTTACATTTATTATATTTATATTATATTTATATTTTTATATTTTGCAATCTTTATATATATATGCTAGTAAAAAAAAAAAAAAAATATGAAAAAACTATATTTAAAATTTGGACAATATTTTTTACACGTTTTTCTTTTTTTTTTTAGGAATTATCAAGTTTTCAAATAAAAATTTTAATATAATTCCATTACAATTATTTTATAAAATATAAACTATGAGAAAGAAACATTAAATATTAAAGTCACATAATATCTAATATTATTATCTTGTTTTTTGTTTTTAAATTATTATTATCACAATAATTCACACTAATAACTCAATGTAATGTTAACAAAAAAAGTACAAATGACATTTGAATTTATAACATTTAAATTTCAATAAGTATTCATACTATTAACTGAGTATAATTTATGAATATAATTAACAGAATGAAATTTATCTGAAAAAAAAAAAAGAAAATGAAGATACTTTTTACTATATTTTACTTCTAAATAAAAGGAAAAATAATTGACGTCACGGTATTAGTTTATTTCTTAGAAACACTATTAAGGAAAGGTTAATTTAACATAAATAACAGTATATCAATAAAAAACATTATACAAGCAAAAGTGTACTTTCAATTAACATAACCAATAAGTACGTAATAATATTCTTGATTTTTTTTTTTTTTATCACTAAAATAACTCACTTAAGTAATTTTGCATCATTAATTGCAATAACATTTATATGAATCAAATCTCTTGCACACAAAGTTAATAATATATTAAAAAAGTAGAATTTAAAACAATCATAATGAAATAGTATATATATATACATATATATATATACATATATATATATATATATATATATATATATATATGTACACACATAAGTTTATTTGTTTACATATTACTACAAATTTGACATAAACACAAAATAAACTATAAGTTAACCTACATATACAAGCGTTGAATGGAGATACTACACCATTATCACAGAAAACAGTATGCCCTAGTTTCACAAACAACAATTCTTCTACATTAAACCGTTATTCGTCAAACTGAGCTGTATATTTAATGAATGAAGACATATCATTTATTAATAATAAAATATAAAACTGTACTCTTTCTCTCTCATAGAATGCCGAAATGTGACAAACGACAAATTTAGTTTTATTAATCTGCCACTAGATGGTGTTAGAAAATAACATTTGGTTTAATTACCAAAAAAAAAAAAAAACATGATTTATTGGAAAAGTGATATGAACGACAGATTAAGAAATATTTAATGTTTTTCATTATACGATTAATTAGATTAATTCGTTGATAAATTAAAAAATAATGAAAAATTTTTAACGCGTTTTATAAATTATCTGATTGTATATATATGTAAAAATGATATTCTTTATGAAAAAATAATAAGGTCGAGAAAGCAAATAATATGAAAAGTTGTAGCATATCTCCTTTAATCCGCTTTCATCTCTTGAGAGAAAATCTAGAAAATCTTCGACACCACGTTGTCCTCCTTGTTAATTGGAGAATATACCTGTGGCTTTCTTTTCTTCCTTTCTCTAACGGATTTTAACAAATCATATCCGTTTTCTAACGATTTACAATATAAACGATACGATTTATTAACAAATTATCATTCGAAGAAAGTATATGTAAGATAACATTTGTGCTCAAGCATAAATGTATATAAATATATTTATTTATAAAACTTTTGAAAAAAAAATATACTTACTTATTTCTTTTTCTTGTAAGTATTTTATATACGTGAGATTTAAATCATATCAAAAATGTTACTGTCATTAACGATACGATTATAGTTAAGCGAGTTTTTGGATAATAAACAAGACTACTGTATTTATTATGATAAAATTATGTTAAATTATGTAGAATTATGTGTGTATGAGTTAAAATAAATTACAAGTTTTTTTTTTTTGAGAAATTCCTTTTGAAATAAAACAAATGGATTTTAAAAATCTCCTATGAAAACTTTTGATCCTTCTTGTGTATATATATACAAATAAAATACAAATCAAATATAAAAATATAAAATATATATATATATNATTAAATTAAAAATACAAATGAAAAGAACAAAAATATAACTGTGAAGGCTACTTAATTGTAAGTCAATGAAGTATTTATATTTATATTTTATTATTTATTTATTTATATTATATTTATATTTATTTATATTTATATTGTATGTAAAATATGCGTACACTTTGCTAGATATAAATATTCATCGAATAAAGTTTATAATTATATAACTTTATATAAAATATATATATGTAAATATTTATATATATATATATATATACAATTATTTGAACGTAACTAGTAATAAAACTTTTGTTCTTTTATTGTTTATCATTTTATATTATGAAACATCAAAAGTGAATATATAATCCTAATACTTACGCGAATTTTATCATCGATCGTGTTCGATACTATCGGTGCTACATGATTCCCATTTCCAACGTTATTGGTAGACATCTTAGAAATTATATTATTTGACAAAATTGATCCTCTTGAAGAAGAAGAATAAGAAGAAGAAAAAGAGAAAAATATAAAACATGCACACTAATTAATTATCAAAAATACAAAACCGATTTAACAAGCTCATAAACATGTAATAATCGATAACTTCTTATTAACGAAAATAATCAATACCATCGCACTTATGGATTGATATTTGATATTAGATTTTTTTTTTACACCGTTAATTTAAAAAACGCCAAAAATAAAAAAAAAATAAAACAAAAAAAAACAACGCAAAAATCCTTTGGAGATTTAGAATATATTTGTAAAAAAAAAAATTATCAATGTATTAACACTAATATTCTTCCATTTGAATAATTTCATTCCATTGCCCTCTTGCACTCACGTATATGATGTTTTCTTTTTTTTTCATTCAGTTTTAATACAAAAATATATAATTATATTTTGCTTTTTTTATTCTTTTTTCATGAACCACGTTAATTGGTCTTTATGTTGTTGATTTGTTCTCATTATTATTATTATTTTTTTAACTGTTCGTGTGTGGAATGTTTAGAAAAAAAACGAATAGATAGATAGAGAGAGAGAGAGAGAGAGAGAGAAAAAAAAACAAAACAAAAAAATATAAATTAAAAAGGAAGGAAAAAAGTTAAAAAAAAAAAACGAAAAAGAAGAAGAAGAACTAAAAATAGATCAAAATACAAAAAGGTACAAAAGATAAAACCGATAAATGAAAAATTTTACTAAATATGGACCGATATATATATTGTTACGAATATACGTGTATCGACTGTAAATCGTCAAGCAGTAGACTAAAGAGAAAGAGAGCTCTTACTTCGACCTACCTTGGCTGAGTATACAACAGATCTCCCTCCTCCATTTTATATTCGTGACATTAATATTCTTGCATATTTTTATACCTTACAGTTATTTCCTATTATTATCTCACATGCACTAATATATTTATGAAAAATGGTACGTACACATAATATATTATATGTATAAATTATATAATTATATTTAAACTAATATTTTCAAATCAATCAAAGAAATTCTAAGCTTCTGTAAATTGTATATACATATATATATATATATATATATATACATATATATAGTGCGAATACAAACACATAGAGAAAGAGCGTATTTACATTCCTGAATTAATGTGGTGTTTCCAATGGAAATTTTGCACATATTTAAACACTAAGTCGTCATTTGTTTACCTTTCTCATGCCTCTTAATGTCGGGCGGGAGAACAAAATGTAAATTCGAGATAATCAATGCGAATTTTTTAAATATGGATACAATAAATCTACTAAAAAGTCAAATATAAATTAAATTTATATTGATTCTTTGCCCTTAAGCGATATAGTTTGATACGTTCACACAAAATTCATGAATTCGAGTTTCACTTATTGCAAATATTACACGAAAACGTATTATAATTACAAAAGTATATAATATTTAACTGATTTTTTTGTTATATTTAATATAAAAATAAATAATTTATGTAAAATTTTATTTGTATAATAATATAAAATGATTTTAAAGTATCTGTAAAATAATTTTTTCTTCATATAGCCGAAATAGTCTCAAGTTGTTAGTTCGTTCGAGTAAAAAAAGGTCTCGAGGGCAAAGGGTTTAAGAGTATCGTTACATTTATGATATGATATGAAGATTACTGAAGAATGAGTATCACTTTTTGTTACTCAATATAAAGATAAAAAAAAAAACAACTCTTCATTAATAATGGGGATTGCTCACTTCCTTTCTATTAAAAAGAACAGAACTATTAAATGTTTCAAAACATATTCTTATATAAGAATAAATGAAATAAATAATTGTATATATATTCCGATAAGTATAAAAAGTATTTATATGATTTTTCTTTTCTTTTATACAAAAATCATAACAATATTCTAATAATGTTACATATATATATATACAATATATTATATATATATATATAGATATATGACTATCATTATTTGTGATGAAAATTAGATTACAATATTTGTACATAATTATTCAACTAAATATCCTGTTAAAATGTAACCACCGGTATCGCTCGTTAAAATATCTGGATGTGTCCTATCTTGTAATATTTGATAAGAACGTAAGAAATTAGAAAACAGTCTTAAACTAACTACATTTTGTGTTTGTTTAAGTGCCATGTATGTTTCTTGTAAAGGTTCTCTATGAGTATGAAATATTACAAATGGTCTAGATGCGCCGAGAAATGGTAATAAAAATTTTGCTATTTCTAAAGGATGTTCTTTAGCTACGATAACTAAACTTCGAACTTTAGAATTTTTCAAAAGGTCCAATACATATTGGGTCTCCATTAACCATTTGGGTTTCTTAACTGGCTCATTTTTAATGGGATCACTTAATTTACGTTTTAAAGTATTTTTATTTTCTACTTTATCGTCTTTCATAAGTTCATCGGTATTAGTAACATTCTGTATAGTTGTATTTGTTTCCGTTTGCATAACATCTGAACCAATCGATCCATTGTTTACAGTTTCATTGATATTGCTATCAACAGTTTGGTCAATTTTTAATACTTCTTTGTCATTTTCTACTTTAGTTTCTTTTTCGCAATCATTACTACTAATATTTAGTAATACTTCATTGTTTTCAGATTGAGAAGTATTAGAATTGGATACTGTTCTACAAGGAGATACATCACTTGATGATAAAGATTCTCCTTGATTATACAATCTTATGAAGCTATAAATATTAACTGTTAGATGCCTGTCAAGCTGTTCTTTAGGAAAATTCATAGCTTGAACGATGTTTAACTGAGGTATGTTTCCAGGATGCAAATTTATCAATAATCCTGTAGTATTAGCTCCGATTCTATGTAGCATGGCAGCACTTGGTAATCCTAATGAACCGCTATCATATAACATATATAAACCATCTGATTGAACATCACTGTATGATAATAATTGAGAAAGGGCATCCATTCTTAATCCTCCTAATCGTGTATGATCTTGTCTAAAGTATACTTCGTGTAAAGACATTATAGTAGGTTTACATATTGTTAAATAACGAAAGTATTTCTGTTCTTTTTTCTTGATGTACTTTTCTTGAGAGTACTCAGTTTTAGCAGAAAAAGATTTACTATTCTCTATAAGAGTACCAACTATCTCTTTACCAGATTTTCCAGATTCTTGAAGTTGCAAGATTTCTTCTTTCGACAATTTTTGCGAAGTACCATCGTTGGTGATACAACGATTGTCCAAACCACTAGATGAACTGTTCTTTAAATCATTCCAAGATTCTGTCCCTTTTATAACTTTCAATGTATAAGATCTTTTGTTATTTTTCGATGGTATCATTTCAAAAGTTGTCCAAAAAGGTTTACCAATTATTTCTTCCATATTTACTTGATCTTTTCCTAACATTAATATTCCTTTATTCGATACCTTGTATAATTTTGTATACTTATGTTTCTTCACTATTACATAATTTCCTACTTTAATATCATCCTCGATTTCACTCATATTTTATATTTGATTAATATCTTCTTGTTTTATTTCACAAAATTAACTTCTTTAATAAGAATCCCTTCAATACGAGGAGACACGTCAATTTGAGGTTAGGATTTAAGTGTGTAGTTTAAAACACATGTGCTCGTATAGAGTCAATTGAGCATATCTTATAAAGTATACTTTATAACCGCATATGTTACAACCTCTGATATTATTTCAATGTAAATAGGATTTATAATATATTTCTTTTTTTAGTAAAACCACAAAAGTTTTTAAATAATTAATATTAATTATTCAAGCTAACAATTCTTAATTCTATCCAATATCATTTATATAAAAATTTAACTAAAAAGTTAGGTTATCTTTAAGATAAAACTTTTTCAAATATTCCATAAGTATATCTCTCTTTTTGCAAACATATTGTTGTTGTTATTGTTGTTGTGTTGTAAATTTTGTGTATTGTAATCAAAAGAAAAATTCTGTTTGTTCTTTTTTTTGTTTCTACAGCTAATATAAACAAGGATGGTTGTTTGTACTGAGTTTCAAGCAATTGTACTAGCTGGAGGAAAGGGGTCTCGTATGACCGAACTCACAGCTAATCAACCAAAATGTTTACTACCTATAGGAAATAAACCAATGATTTGGTTTTCATTGCAACTACTTGAACGTAGTGGATTTAAAGAATGTATTGTCGTAGTATCAGAATCAACGAAAAATGATGTATCGTCCTCGTTGGATAAATTAAATTTAAAAATAAAACTAGACATAATAGGAATACAAGGTGCAGAAGATCTTGGTACTGCTGATTCGATAAGGCTTATTTCTGAAAAGATTCACACTGATGTTTTAGTATTATCATGTGATTTGATCACAGATATTGATATTTCGGAAACATTAAATTTATATAGAAAACATAATGCAAGTATTACAGCATTGATGTTACCAATAATCAAAATACCAGATGGATTTGTTACTCCAGGACCTAAAAATAAACAAAAACCAGAAACAGATTTAATTGGAATAGATAATGAAACAGGACGTTTAGTATTCTTAGCGTCAGCATCGGATTTCGAAGAAACTATCAACATATCACGAAAAATTCTCAGAAAACATACCAGTTTTACCATGCTCTCTAAATTAATGGATGCACATGTTTATATTATCCAAAAATGGGTTTTGGATTTTTTAGTATTTAATAAGTAAGTAATAAATATATATAAGAGTATTATAATATTTTGATTAAAAACAATACTTTTATATTATATTTTGTAGAAATTTTAGTACGTTGAAAGGTGAACTTCTTCCATACATAGTTGCTAAACAATTATCAAAACCGCCTAAACAATCTACAGAAGAGAAAAATAATTCAATTGTACAAGTAAACTTGAAAGAAGATTTGTTCCGTTTTGCTACTGCAAAACCATTAGACAAATTAATAAGCAGAATGTCTGCATTTAATGACCACAGTTATGATTTACAAGAAGCTTATCATGACGATATAATTAAATGTTACGCTCACATTGTGAACAATGGGTTTGGTTTAAGAGCCAACACTATACAAATGTATCATCTTGCAAATTTGAAGGTATATCTAATAATGTTTATTTCATTTGTTTCGTTTACTTTCAATTTTTTTGCAATGGATATGATAAGTAATGATATTTTTTATTACAGATATCAGATTTGTCATCTAGTATCATTAAATCTGATTTACTACTGAATACATCATCGTTGGCAACTGTTAAAAGTACACAAGTAAATAATTGTAGTATAGATGACAATGCATTTGTCGATGAAAAAACGTCCCTTAAATTTAGTCACATTGGTCTTAATACAATTGTTCAAACAAAAACCAGAATCTCAAACAGTATTATAATGGATAATGTAACTATCAAAGAAAGGTAAGAAAAATATTTTGATTATAGGAAAATATGCATACGATAGATATATATATATATATATATTAGAGTAAATTCTCTAACTTTAAATATTTGTACAAATTTATAGATGCTCGATACAAAACAGCATTTTATGTAATGGGTCTATTATCGAGGAAGGTACCGAATTAAAGGATTGCATAGTTGGTGCTCAACATGTTGTAACATCCAACAGTCAACATTCTCAAGAAGTTTTAACCGAAGCTGACAGATTAATAGAAATTTAATTATTAATAATGATTTATAATTGAAATTAAATTGTGACTAAATAAATACTGTTTCTCTCTTTTCAATTTTATATAAATTATATTTTTCTTTTCACTATAATTTCCAATAATATAAAAAATGTATATATAACAATATTTGTTTATTATAAATAGCACTATAAAAAGGGAAAATAGTACCAACGGTAAGAAATATTCCTACTATTGATACTTCGGTTTTTTTTTTGGTTGGTATTACTGCAACTGCCCACCATTTCTATCGTTTATTAATCGTCCCTTTTCGGTGTGCTCTCCTAAGCAATATGGTATGATTTTATTCACGTATTTTTTATCAATTTATTATTAAGCAATCCTAAGTAGTTATGGGATAATTATATTATGAAATTATAGTATAATTATCGTAGTAAATAATTAATTTTATAGTAATCAATATAAATGCCTTCGTAAGTTTATTTTATCTTAGTTAGGTTAACTCGTTACAGTAATCATTTTCTTTACGGTTATATCAATAACAAAATCATTAAATTCACTTAATTGCATAAATCATTACAAATTACAATTCTATCGAATATATTTTAATCTTCATTTTGTTTTGTTTTTCTTTTACAATATTTTGTTATTTATAACGTGTAAGATAATGAGTGTAACGTGTAGTGAAAGGTTAGTTATAGTAGCATTTGTAATTACAAACTAAGGATGGTACATCAAGTTTTGTTCTTCTTTTACAATATTTTTTTATTTATAACATGTAAGATAATGTTGTGTAATAATGAGTTACTTGCAATACGATTTTTTTAAATAATATTTACAGACTAAGGTTATATCAAGTTTTGTTCTTCTTTTACAGTATTTATTTATAATGTGTAAGATAATGAGTGCAACGTGTAATGACGAGTTATTTATAATAAAATTTGTAATATTTGCAGACGAAGGGTACATCAAGTTTTGGTAAGCGTCGTAATAAGACACACACATTGTGTAGACGATGTGGACGCAGTTCATATCACATTCAAAAATCACAATGTGCACAATGTGGATACCCTAAGAAGAAGATGAGATCATGTAAGTTATACAAAGTGAATTTTACATTATTAATATTTCAATTACTTTCTATGATCACTTGCATCAATATAATAAAAAATATGTGTACATTAATTGAATTATATTTTACAGACAACTGGTCGATTAAAGCTAAAAGGAGGAAGACCACTGGAACTGGTAGAATGCGTCATCTGAAAATAGTTCGCCGTAAATTCAAGTAAGTTCATATTTATTGATTATCAATGTTATTAACACTAAATTATTTTATTCTTATAATATTAATTAACAATAGAGTACACATTATTTATTTAATTATTAATTTGTAATTATACCTTAACGCTCTGTTGGCTTTGCTATAGAAATATTAGCAATTAACACTAGATATACCACCATTTTCAATACACTTATTTCTACCACACTAGTCAAAATGACTGGTGTATATAAAAAATGCTTTTTGAGACTTCCAGTTTTTATTTATTCTTAAAAAATAACCAAAAATGTTTAACAATAATAATTTTAATAGATAAAATAAATTTATAGACATTTTTAAATAACAAAACGCTTAATTATTTACAAAAATCAAATGTTACATGAAGTAGAAATTTTGAATTAAAATTAAATGGCCCCATGAAATAAAATTAAAATTAAAATGGCCCCAATCATTTTGACTGGTCTAATATAATAAATAAATATTTGTCAATCTTTTTGCATACAAGATAATATAATTCTTTTTTTTTTTCTATTATTTTAGGAATGGATTCAGAGAGGGCCTACCAAAGCATAAAACTGTAGCTGCTAAATAATATACCATAAATTCATTATAATGTTATCAAGCTACATAGCTTAAATTTTCAATAAAAAAAAAAAAAAAAAATCTTTTGGAACATATGCTAATACAATTGAGTATTTAAAAAGTCCGTTATCCTTAATCTTTTAAGTTTTCTTCCATTGTAGTAACTTACAGATACGGTGGGAAATGAAACACGTTTCTAAGTAAATAAATAAATGTTTACTGATAAACTTTGACGCATGCGTGTGTATATTATACTATACCATTGTTGCCCGAGAGAATGGAGAAATAAAAATAAAACATATATATATATATATATATATTAAAGGAGACAAAAATGCTGATAGGAAAGTACACATATACTGATTGTGAGTAATATAGACGAAATACGAAACGATGCAAGAGATTGTACTGCGCAAACGCGTCAATTCTTTTGACAGCGACCGCTTGTATATTTAAAGAGGTTTCGCCATTATTAAATGTCAGTAATAAACGGAATTTGTTACACGATGGTAAGCTTTCTTATCGGTACTACCATCATCACTGCTGCTACGTGCATATTATAAAACCTTTAAGGGGAAAACGCGTGGTGGTATTGTGAAAAAGAATAAAATAAAAAAGAAAGCCCAAAAAAAAGACAACAAATAACTGAAAGTTATGCTACTTAAAATCAAACAATTTCAACTGCATAAGCATCGACGAATCAAGATCCACGCTACTAGCGTTAATAAATTTAAATAACGATCTATTTTCAGAGTCACAAGGCTGTTATAAGGTTTATAAAAAAGGTATTAATAAGATAGTAGATGTGCATGGAAGTGTCATCTCTTGCATCTTACTTCTTAGTTATTTTAATATTACTTCATATATATTTTTTTGTCTTGATTTATTATTACATACTTAAAACTTGATCCCAGAATAAATATAAGTTCTGACAATCGAGTTAAGAAGAATAAACGTAAGAGGAAATAGTATCTGGTCTGCAAACATTCATTATTTTATTTAAAATCTTATATACTTTTCCTGAGGTTCATCTCCTTTAAAAGATTATTCATTTAACAAATGCATATTCTGCGAAAATTATTCGGTAAGTATAGTCTTTCTTTCTTATAAACAAATAAATTTATATATATATATATATATATATATATATGTTTTTTTTTACTTAACATTAGGCAGGTATCTTCTTATTACAAATACTGTTAGCTGTGGTTTGATGATGGCAGCTGGAGATTTGATACAACAACGTAGAGAACATTGGAAAAGATATCGTTATGAAAATTATTTTTCAACTGGTGGTACTGCTCGCGTTATTGCAGCATCCCCAGAGGAAGATGCAACATTAGAAGAAGAGGAAAATAAGGCTATGGATGTTGCTACCTTATACGAACATAATTATGTTCGAACGAGAAACATGACATTAGTAGGTCTGATTCAAGGACCCTTTCATCATTGTTTCTATGGTCTACTTGAAAAAATAGCACCTGGAAAAAATGCCAAATCCATTATAAAAAAGACTTGTCTAGATCAATTAATCGCTAGTCCTGCGTGTCTTATTATATTTTTCGGTGGTCTTGGTCTAATGGAACGTGACAAAGTTGAAGAAGCTTATAGAGAAATTAAAGTGAAGTTGATAGAAGCTTGGAAAGTATGTTTTATGAATGCAAACACACAAACAAAATTATTTGTAAATTATTTAATAAAAAAAAAAAAAAAATAAATCAAAAATGTAATCTTTGATTTTGAAACATTTTTCATTAGGTTGACTGCTGTTTCTGGCCACCGGCTCAATGTGTTAACTTTATATTCGTTCCTTTACAATATAGAGTACTTTACATAAACGTTATGACTATGTTGTACGACGTTTTTCTATCGTACATTAAATACGTAAGTATTTTAGCTACGAATTTTTCATATTTTTTTATTTGAAATCATATTTGTATCTTTATAGTTCTAAGGAAACTAAAGGATCTCTTATTTTCGTTTCAGGATGCTCACAATGATTGACGAGAAACTTGTATAGTATTATAAATATAAATATAAATATAGTTAGATATTTACATACTAATATGTATATATATATATAAATAATGTATTAAAATTAGATAGAATTAAGTTTTTTTGATAACGGAAAATAAATGAACTTTTCCAACAATGTTTGTTCTCCTTTTGTTTTCATTTCTTTGTATCCTTATCTGATAGTAAAGAAAACTTGAAGGCTGATAATATATAATTATAATAATCTGAAATATATTTTCTAAATAATAATATATAACTTTTGACGTAATGATTATTTTTCTATTATTGATATAAGTAACATAATATATAAATTCTAACAATACTATATATACTATTATATATATATATATATATTATTTACTATATATAATATGTTATATATTGTATGGTATGTTATTATATGTTACTTATATTTATATATATATATTATATATAATAAATTAATATATAAATATATATAAACATTTATATTAAATAATTTACATTTAATAATAAAATTATATTCTATTACATTGAAAAAAATAATATATAGATAAAAATTAATATAATTATAATTATAATTATAAAATAAAAAAAAAATATATATATATATAATACATTATATATAAAATATATATAAAATAATAAATATAAATCCTAATAATAGTAAATAGATGTAATATTAAAAAACTACCAAAAGGTGTCCAAAAAATGAATAATATAGAAATTATTAATAACAAAACGATAATATGCACATTCGTATCATTGATCTACACATATGTACATATTTACATATATCTATATACTGTACATTTCTAAAAAGCTATTAACAAATTTCTTATCAAAGTATCTTTTAGTGATCATTCATTAAGAGTAGGGATGTTATTTATGTCGTTAACAGCTTTGTTTGGCATTTGGCGACAAGAGGATTATAGAATTCCGTAAGCCGTCAGTCGCCATTTAGCAAATATGATTACTGACAATGTACACATAAACACAAACAATAAATTCAACGTTGCGCAACATGTCCCGTAGTATATCAAGATTATAGAAACTCTATAAATGTATATTTCGAATATAAGCTGAGAAATATAACAGGTAGAAAGATAATACTACAAAGTATTAATTAACACAAAATGGCAAAATGACAAAATTATGATATCAAGGCTAGATGACGATTACACAATGATATATAAACAAATATGATAATACAAAAGCTAGGATCGATAAAAGTTCATTTTTACAGGAAAAAAGTTGCCATGTATAGATATTGTTAAAGGACGATTTTTAAACGTGTAAAAATAATAATAAATAAATATGCATGTTATGAAATAAGATACTAGAAATAAAATATATAAAATGAATAAATTAAAAGCTACATTTTTACTAACCTATGTTTTGTATTATGTTATAATGACAATTACAATGTGCATATATATATATATATATATATTAAATATAACCTAAATTATAACCTAATATATTTCATATATATTTATTAAATATATTAGGTTATTAGGCAATTTGGATAATTAATAATTACATTTACATATATAAAACTGATTAAAATCGTGACTGGTCATTTGGCAGAAAATAAAGCACTATTGTGAATATACAAAAAACATCTAAAAACTTTTCAATGAAAGCATACCCAGTGCACTTTTGGATCCTACCTGTTTAAAATTAAAGTTTTCATATTTATACAGAATAGTATGCTACCTGACCACTTATTACCTATATTTAAAAAAAGTAAACACCAACACATTCACTTCACGATTCTCTCACATACCACCAGGGTGCAAAAACCTAAACTAGAGAGTATACTCCAGGACATCCATGACACTCTAATTCTACCGTATATTTTTTAAACTTACATGTTAATGGGAGTATATATCAAATGCTGTAATTCACTGTCAAAGCTAGTAATTATTACATAACTGCATACTAATTGTCAATTGATTGTGATGTCCTTGCGACGCCATTTTGAAAAATTGTTGGTACGCCATTGGTACGATAGTTGAGCGCCATTGATACGCTAGTGAAGCGGAACGCCATTGGTACGTTAATGGAATGCCATTGGTACGCTAATGGAACGCTATTGGTGCGTTAATAGGCGCCATTGTTAAACTTAATTTAAAATATATTTTAAATAGTTTATAAAAAAAAAAAAAACAAAGCGTAATAATGTAGGAATAATTGCAATATCTTAATATGAACTATATAAAGGGATGATTCTCTCTGTAAAAAAGTATATAATATATAATAATAAAAGTATATATATATACATACTTATGTTATAAAATAATTTACAAATAAAAAAAAAAACCGTAGAATGAGAATGTATTGAATGCTACTTTTTTTTACTGATATAATACTGTTTTGTATTTCTAAAGATAAATTTTTATTTATTTCTTATCATTTAAATGATTAATAAGAATATATATGTATATATTTATATTGGTTCTTCGACTGATTGTGAGATCATTTTAGAAATAATTATTAAATGTGATCTTGAATTTTTTGATATGCTTAATTCAAATGCATATACATATTAAAATATATATTAAATATACTAGATTACTAAGAAATTTAGATAATTATTAAATATATATATAAACATATCGTGATTATTAGATTAAAATAATTAAAAAAAATATGATTAGTTGTTGGTTTGACTAAGTGCAAAGAATTAATAAAATTACGATATATAGAAATTTAAAGTAATATAATAAAGAAAATGAATATTAAACACCTCGAATAACAAACTTTATTTACATACACATCATAATATATCCATAACCGAAACCATAACGTATTTCAAATATTGGTAAAATATTTGCTAACCAATATATTATATCGAGATTAAATCTTTTACATCATTTTTATTATCGTGTTGTTGTTCCTTGTGTTTTTCTGTTGCATGTATACCTTTTCTATTCACATTAATTATTTCTTTCTTTTATTATTATTATTATTATTTATTTCCAAGCAATGAGATATATAATTTTCAAAAAAATGTTCGCACACCATGAGAAAAAGAAAAAAAAACTTCCTCTCTTGTGTTGTTGTTCCATTGAAGATGACGTAAAATATTTCCTATTACGTGTTATCGATATTTTAAACATTACGTTTCGCGCGTTTCACAGGATATATATACATACACATATATATATGTATATGAATATATATATATATATTTTTATACGTATACGTACACATACATTTGAGCAAATAATATAAAAATAATTCTGAGGTACTCTCGTCTTCCTCGTAGTCTGAATTCCTTAACTAATTGGCAGATCACGTTTCTCACGATAATCTTTTTATCTTGTAGCTTCTTTTGTTTTATTTTGTTTTCTTTTCTTTTCTTTTTCTAATCTTCTTCTTCTTCTTCTTTTTTCTTTTTAATTCTTCATCTTCTTCTATTTCCTTTCTTTTATTGTTCATTTTCAACGATCATTGATCTTTCAATTGTTCTCATCATTTTCATCTTTATCTTAAACTTCATCGTCATCATTATAATCATAATCGTTATCATAATCATTATTTTCATCAAATCGTCGTTGTCTTCGATTTAAAAACGTTTTCTCTACACAATACAGGTTCTATTAACCTGGAAACGATATTTAGGCACAGGGGAAGTCCTGATCATTTTAATTCCGCTGTGTACAGTGTATGAGTGGTGTGTGTCCTTATACATGTCTCTTTTTTATCCTATGCTGTATAATGTTTCTAGCGTGTATATTTATGTATGTATATATAAGTTTCTTTTTTTTTCTGTAAATAATCAAGAGAAAGAGAAAGAGAAGGAAATAGGGARAGGCTAACTAGCAATATAACAATTATTTGCTAATGAAAATCGATTGAACTTTTTATTTTTTATTATTTTTTTTTTAGTATGCCCTTATTTTTTAACTCTACCCCACAAATATTTGTTACAATTGTATTTTGTTTTATATTTATTTCGATTTTCATAAGCAGCACGACGACACGACGACTTTTCTCGATCTCAAGCAAGGCATCTTAACATTTGTGTGTGTTGTGTTTGTTTGTTTTTTTTTTATTTTTTCGCATACATGTAAAAAATAATTCTTCGTCAAAGGATTTTCCAAACTTTTCTTCTTTTTCATCAGCATTCCTTTCTTTTCTTATTTTATTTTATTTTATTTTTTTTTAATTACTTTTCTTATTATTCGTGCTTTTAAACATAATCTTCTATTATACATTTTCTCAATTTCTCTTTTTCTTTCTCTTACTTAACGTTTATGCGTATTATTATTATTATTATTATTATTATTATTATTATTATACATACATATTTAAATATATATATATATATCTAAAGGATTTTTTCTTTTTCCCTATGTTTATTTATTTTTTTTTAATTATAATATATTAATATTAATGTGAAAGCAGCAACGAATCATCACGTTTCGCATCACCAAAAGTATTTTCATTATTATTGAAATATTAAATATCGATATTATTTAAATTAATTGATTTTTTTTTTGTTCAATCAATCAATCAATCAATTAATCAATCAATTAATTAATTAATTAATTTAATTATTCTTTTGTGTCAAACACGTTTAGAGAATGAGAGAAACATCGTTTTTGAATTTCTTTGACAAGTATTCTTTGTTTTTTTTTTGTTTTTTTTTGTAATTTGTATTATTTTTGTTATATGCACTTATTTTTTTTTTATTCTTCTTTTTCTTCTTCTTTATTTTTTACAATAATTTGAAAATCCGCTAAATCGTCTCTCGAATATAACTCGGACAAAGGTAAATCTTCTTCGTGTCTAATTAACATTGTTATTAATTCTTAGTATTTTTTTGTTCCTTTTTCTTTTCTTTTATTTTTTGTTTTTTTTTTTTTGTATAAGTAGATATATTTATATAATTATAATATATCAGACAGCGGATATATATGCACGTATGTAAATAGAATTAGACAACGTTTAAACAGACTGGAGAATATCTGTCTTAAATATATATTTTTTTTTGATTAATTTCTATCTTTTCATTATTAATTATTTGTTATTAACACTTTAATGGCCGCTCACACAACATTTGTGTGATTACCGGAATACATTGGC